ACACTAGTGCATCTCGTCCCTGCGTCTGCAGCGTCTCTGCATCCTTCTCCGCGTCGTACACCTCGTCCAGTGTTTGCGGTATGTACTGCTGACGGAAGACCTCGTTTTCCACCTCGTCTTCTTCCTTGTCGTCTTCAGACCGCTCCGCCATCAATCTGTCAAGGTCTTTCCGTTCCTCCTCGATCTCGAGCCCCTGGCCGCTGGCAGCGGGGGCTTTTGTGATGTACTCGTACGCCTTCCGCTCCGCTAGGACGTTGACGCCCTTGCGACGGAAGAAGTCGGTGACGTTCTTGATGTCCATGCGCAAAAAGTCGAGACTGCGTGGGTGGTCGCCCTCGACGCTCTGGCTCACGTCGATGATGTACGGCTTGTTCTCGTAGTACAGGATGTTGTACTCGCTCAAGTCGGCGTGGACGAGTTTGCAGATCTGTAGCATGATGCGCATGTATGCCACCACGTCGATGTAAATAGCACGCCACCTGGCGCCGTCGTCGTCGTCCTCAAACTCCACATCCTTCAGTCGAGGGGCCGCTTTGCCCTTTTTCCCATTTCCGATGAAATTCATTCCCAAGACGTGCCGACGAAGATAAAGCGGTTCGGGGCAAGGGATGCCGGCCGCATGAATTCTCTTGAGATTTCGCATTTCCTTCTCCGCCCACATCTTCACCATGGCCCGGTTGTCCCGAGTCCTGTAGCCCTTGCGGAAACGGAACTCGCCAGTGACGTACTTTTCGCGGTCTTTGAAAACTAGAATGGCCGTTTTGTACACCTTGATGGCGACGTGGGTGTCTTCCTGCGAGCCGTCTTCGGACTCGGCCACGGCGTGGTAGACGTTTGCTTCCTTTCCGGTGGAAATGGTGCCGTGGATCACGGAGACGATGCCCTTTTGGATCATAGAGAAGAGAATCATCCGCGTTTTGGGATCGAGGACTTGTTCGGCCGTTGCACGCTCGCTTTTGTCCTTGTCCTTGTTGCGACGGCCATCCTCGTCCGGGGCCACGTCAGAAAACACGAGATCCTTCATGTCGCGGTATAGATTGCTGACCGATCCTTGAGACACCTTTTGCTGGGGGTTTGCTTTGGGATACTGCCAAGCGGGGATCCTGGGGTCTGAAGTGGCTTCATCGAGGCGCCGTCGTCTGTTATATGACTTTGTCAGGTCGGCCGGATTAGACGTTGCGAGGTCCTCAGGGTCGAGGACCTGGTCGCGGTCCACTTCTTCGTCGTAGAGGTCCTCCAGCTCATCCTCATCCTCCTCGCCGTCTAAATCTTCCACTTCGTCGTCGTCATCTTCCTGAATAAATTGGCCTAGGGCTATTCTTCTCCGGGGAGGTGCAGTATCAGCATTTACATAGCCATGATTTGGTACGTATGTGTGCGAAGGAGCGATTCCATCCGCAATTCCTTTGGAAGTTTCGGTTGACATTGCGCCAGGGTATTCATCAGACAGTGGCGGGAGACAAGACACAGTGTTTGTCAGGAAAAGAGTAAAATATGCAAGTCACTTGTTGCCACACAGAAAATGAAAGTGGCACTTGAAATGCGTCATTTGAACTGCATTTTGATGCCAAGAATACTTGACCGTAGTGATTGATCTCAATACGGCGGATCATTACTGCAACTGCGGCAACATCATTTCCCTTTTGAGTCTTTACTCATTCATTGTCCACTGCCACTCCATCTGTGTTACTTGGACACTATATTCTTTGCCTGCGACATGCTTAAGCCTGGGAAAAAGAGGCTCTTTAGGCACCACCAAATTCCTGCTCTTCTTTGGCCGGAGGAATGTACCAGTCCGAGTCAACCACCAGCTTGACCCGGTGTAGATCCTTGGCCATGATTTTGTCTTTGTCTGCCAGGTACGCCTCGACCTTTCTGGAGCAGTCAATATACCTGCCAGACATGAAATCCAGTTGTCCACTTGACAGCAGGACCACATAGCCCGCTGGCATCTGCGGCGTGTCCCAGGTAACATCCTTGAAGAAATTGACTGCGATATTGGCTGACTTGTCCTCTCCAGGTAGGCTTTTGGACACATAGCTGCCCTCCTTGATGTTTCCCTCAGATGCCTCCTTGAAGTCGGTAAAGAATCGAGTCGGAATGGCACCCGGGTGGATGGCGAACGTCCTGATGCCGTGGTCTTTGTTCTCGTGATGGAGAATTTCCGCCAAACGTACCAGGCCCAGTTTACCGAGGGCGTAGCTGCCCATACCGTTGCTCACATGAGCGCCAGCGCTTGATGTGAAGATGATTCGTCCCCTCTTCTCTCGCCGCATGATCGGAAGTGCTGCTCGAGCAAAGTTGAAGCCTCCTTGCAGGGACACTGCCAGGGTATCCCACCAGACGGTGGGATCTGACTCCCAGGTCGCCAGCCATTGTGGTGGACGGCCTGCATTCGCGAACACCACGTCAATGTGCCCAAATTCGCGGTCGATATCGTTGATGAATTGCTGCACTTTGGCATAGTCTTTGACGTCGAAAGCTGCGGTCTTGGTTAAAAGCTGTGGGTTGATCTTTTTACATATGCTGGCAGTCTCATCGACCTCGCGCAGCTCCAGTGCCATCAAGCTTAGCGACTTGGCTGCAGTATGAGCAAAGAACTCAGCAGTGGCTCTTCCGATGCCGCGGCCAGCACCGGCAATCACAACATGCTTGTCTTTGAATGCAGCTGCCAGTTCACGATTCTGTCTCGGGTCGGTCGCAGGTTGGCAATCATGTTGGTCTCCAAGAAATCTTTCGACCATAGGTTCACTTGGTTCGCCCATGGTGACTGAAGGTGTATGGCTACGACGTCTGTCTACTACTAGCTACAATCAGAAGACAACAAGTGCTGGGGAGAAGACATTATCATCTGGCCACACCAGATGTCCCCCACATGTTGCCAGGACTGCTGCTAAACTAAGTGGAGTAGGTACATTTGCCGTTTCCCATCTGATCGGCAAAAAAACCTTGCACGCCCTCGTCAATCGTAGGTCAAAGATGGGTCAAGATGGGTCAGGGAATGGGAGCGACTGTGGGGAAGATGTTTGTGGGGTTCTTGGAGACATAAGAAGCAAGGTGGGTTCACGGGTAAGGACCATACAACACATTGTCCAGACAATCATCCCAGCTCTATTTGGAGTTTCTTTGCCCTCGGTTCGAATACTTTGTGATCCCAAAATGGGTTCAATTGGGCCCTCCAAGGCCGAGCATCATCGGGTCATTATCGTTGGTGCTGGCCCGGTCGGGCTCACGACCGCAACCAATTTAGCAAGGCTTGGGGTCCCTGTCTTGGTCCTCGAGAGGAATCACCAGGTCGATCAATCTCCCCGGGCGGCATCGTATCAACCATGTGCGCAGGCCGAGCTGCTCGAGACAGGAACCCTAGACGACGTCAGAAAGGAGTCTGTCATCAATGATGTGGTATCATTCTGGATCAAAGGGAAAAAGGTAGCGCATGTGGAGAAGCGAGAAGGAGGCAGCCTCTTCCCTTCTGGCATTAATTGTCCTCAGCCGAGACTGGCCGCCATACTCCTGCGCCATCTCACCACCAAATATAACTCGGAAGTGCGCTTTAATCAGAAAGTCATCGAGGTCTCTCAAGACGAGAAACAAAGTCTGGTCTCTTTGACCGCCATGGACCCAACCACCAACCAAGAAACTCTTTATACCTGCGACTGGCTGATAGGGGCGGATGGGGCGGGGTCGAGCGTGCGCAAACTGTCGCATATCCCCTTTGAAGGGTTCTCCTGGCCGAAAGAAGATTTCGTGGCTACGAATGTGCGATTTGACTTCTTTAAACATGGATTTGATACGGCGAACCTGATCCTGGATCCGGTACATTGGGCTGTGGTCACAATCCTCGACGACACAGGACTATGGCGCGTGGCATTTGGGGTCAGAGCGGGCTTGACCAACGAGGAGATACGCGCCGAGCTTGACGAGCACTATAAGCACATCTTCCCAGTGTGGCCCGTCGAGTATGAGCTGGTACAGTTGAACAAGTACAAGCCGCATCAGAGATGTGCACAGACTTTCAGACTGGGTCGGATATTGCTGGCCGGTGATGCTGCGCATGTATGTGATTCGAGTTCAACTGTCCAGTAACTCAAAGTCCACTGACGTACATTCCAGAGCAATAACCCCATTGGTGGTCTAGGCTTGACTACAGGTCTTCTGGATGCTGGGCCTCTAGGCCGTGCGCTCGGCGCTGTCATCAACGGCAAAGCGCCCGAGTCGCTCCTCGATACGTGGGCCAAAGCGCGCCGGGATAAATGGCTGAACTTCACCAACGAATTTTCCATCGAGAACAAACGCATGTGCCAATTGGGGGGATACAGCGACGATCCACTGGGGATATGGGAGATTGACGACGTGGCCAAGGAGCACAAGATGGAGCAGTGGTTAGCCATGGCTACGCCGGAGAAAAAGGAAGCCGACGCGAGGATGTACAAGGCTCTCGAGGATCCACAGGCGCAGCTGGTCAGTCGGATGAAGCAGTGGGAGATCACCATGGATCCCATGTGGATGGCGCAGTACGAGGACCCGGAGCTGGTCAAGTATAGAGTATCGCTGAGGCCTGCGGTGCTTTCGACGCCCGAGGCTGCGACGTGAAGGAGAGCTAGACAGACCGTATGCTTTGCGCAGAATTTATCCAGGCCGTGTATATAGACTGATGGGAGACCAAGGGAGCGATGACCGGACGAGGCGGTCTTTTCTTGGCCTGACCGAAGAGAGTTGGATGAGATCCCATTTCTTACAGAACACATGAAGATAATTCCCAACGGCCAGCCAAAAGCACGGCTCTCAATATTAGTTGTTAGGTACACATTTCATTTTCGTTTTTTGCCCAATCCGATCCGATAGCCTGTCAGCCTGTCAGCCAGCCAGCCAGCCAGCCAGCCAGCCACCAGCCAGCTAGCTACCCCTGACTGGGACTTAGGAACTCCTCCATGATTAAAATCAATGACAATCCTTAATCCTTGCGCCCTTGGACCCATCAAAGCCGTGCATGCATGTGGCTACATCTTTGCGGCAACAGGGACGCCAACACCAGCGACACCGGCCGCAGCGGCGGCGGCGGCAGTGGCAGCAGCAGCGGGGGAAAGTTCGGCTGTTTGTGACGACAACGACAGCGACGACGATGCGGCAGGAGCAGCAGCAGTAGCAGTTGTCGGTGTAGTTGTACTTGTCGCCGCACCCTTCTGATTCACGTTTTTGTCGCTCGGGTCGTCGTACGGCGTGGCATCCATGATCTTCCACATCTGGGCCGCGTGCAGAGCGTCGTCGGGCATCTTGCGCGAGATCGACGTGTTCTTGTGGCCGTCGCTGATGAACATGACGCTCTTGCCCTGTATTATTGCCAGGTCCGGGCCCGAACCCCCTTCCCAACGAAAGGGGGGAGGGAGGTGGACGGCGACGTTAGTCGTGCTGGGTCTTGGTGCGTGGTGGATCATGTATCTCATGTAGGGTGTATGCATATGGTACGTGTAAGGGGAAAGGAAAAGGGAGAAGGAAGTAGTAAGCAAAAGGGATGGAGGGAAGGTGACATGACTATAAAACTCACCAGACCCAATGTCAATTCGATGGATGAATCGACCATTGTCGGCGTATACTCCTTCAACTTGACCGCCGGCGACGAAGCGTCTCCGTTCGTCGTCTTATTGGTGTCTGCATCTGTCGCATTCCTCCTCTTCCTGTTCTTCTGATCCGCTCGAATTGTCCGCACAATGTTCTCCGCGACCAGGAACCCTTGCATCGAGGCTGGGCGGCCCATCTTCGGACCGGGCAGGTCGATCACGTCGCCCAGGGCGAACATGTTGCGGGGCGCGTCTCGGATCTGCAGCGTCTTCTCTACCAGGATCGAGCCGGACGGGGACACAGACTTTGGAGAGAAGCTCTTCAGGAGCGCCGAGTTGGGCGCTTGCCCCGTGCATTGGATCTGGTGGATTTCGGTCAGCAAGGGATCTGTCGAATGCAGCTTGATGGCCAGGACGACGAGAGAGCACCTCCTCCTTGCGAGAGAATACTTACCACTAGATCACACTGGATGGTATTGCCGCTGCGAAGCTTGATCTGCTTGGAATCATCCCCCTCCAAGCCCGCGATCACCCGGTCGCCCAGGTACAGCTTGATGCCGAGCTCTTCGAGCGCCTTCTTCGCAATGTCGTGGAGTTCGGCGCCGAAGTTGTTGAGCAGATTTTCGCGGGAATGCACCAGCGTGACGCTTTTCTGCGGATACTTGCTCTTGATGTCCGAGGCGACTTCGACGCCCGCGGCACCACCGCCCACGATGACAATGTCCTTGGCGGCCACGATGCGCTGCTGCTCCTCCTGGAAGAATCTCACACAGTTCGCCTTGTCGTCGCCGTCGCCGTCCTTGTCGAGCCTCGCTGGATACCGCGATCGCGATCCGGTCGCTACGGCGAGATACTCGTACGCAATCTCTGTTCCATCCTGCAGAATGACCTTGCCGGGCTCGATCGCGACGACAGAGCCCTGCTTGAACACGTAGGCTCCGACTGGAACGCTGCGTGGGCCCTGGTCCGGATACGGGATGATGGCATTGTGCTCCTGGCCCGCGAGGACCGTGGCGCGAGGGAAATTCCACGTAAAGTGGAAATGGGAATGTTTATCGATCAAGACCACTCTGTACCCCGTGGGAACGGACTCGGCGAGTCGCTTGGCGAGAAAATACCCAGCGAAGGAGCCGCCTATGATCACGATGTTGCGCGGGTCAGGTACGGATTTGTACCTCAATCGGTGGATATATGTGGATATATAGATACATAATCTCTCAAAAGAGGCAGACAGACCGAAGCCAAGCAGTTTGATATAGAGAAAGGCTTTGGCAAACATCTTGGAGGAAGAGAAAGATCTTGAGACAGAGGACGAGGCGGAGAGGGTAAGGGGACGGGCGAGGCATTGATGATCTTATCAGATAAAAATCAGATTGAAAAACAAACGAGATTCATCCCAGCTTTGGCTCCTCGGAATGCGCGGTGTTTCCGTGGAGGTGGGGAAGAGACGCCGATGTCGGCTGAAACTCGCTTGAATATAGTGTTTCTCGGCTGTCGACAAGGGTATATGTACGAGTACTTGTATATCCTTGGCCAAGTCCTATGGAGATCGGTCCAGGGGATGTGCTCCGCAAATTGGCATTTCCCAAGGCTGCCGAGACTATGGCTCGAAAAGTCCCTTGTGAGACGTCACTGGCGGCTTCGCAGCCTTCAGATAGCGGATGCTCTCCCTTGCCTGCTGGAAGTGGACAGTGCCGTACCGGAGCAGCTCGGCAAAAGTACCTGCCTGGTGATCCTTGTCCTCGTTGCCTGGCTCCTCCCAAAGGACACCAGCTGCCGGCGTCTGGGTTAGGTTCTTTCCATGGGTGATTTTTTGCAAGCTTGACTCTGTCAGTAGCCGCCAGACCAGCTTGTACGCCGTCTTGTATTGCTCAGAGTCCGTTGGCGCGTCGAGTGGGGTGGCTAGGGCGTTAAACAGGATCGGTCCGCCAAAGCCGATCGTGGCTTCAGCGCCCCAGTCTTCTTGCAGAACGTCGAAGATGAGGACCTTATTCAGCCAGTAGTCGGTCGCGTTGAAGCCATCTCGCGCATTCTCCAGCATGCAGAGTCTTTGCCAGGACAGAACCTGGCTGATGTATTCCATTACCGTCTGAGGCTCCACCGCGAAGTCCCATCCGAAATTCGCCTGTTCCGCCGCCTCAAAAGTGTGAGTCAATGCGAAAGCGACGAGAGGATGTTGAATCAAGCCTTCGTGATTTTGGCGGTCCTTCCACAAATAAATGAAGAGGTCGTGCCTACAAGCGTTGTTGTTAGCTCGCGCCCGGCAAGTCTTGCATGTCACATACCAGCATTTGATGAAAGGGTCGCCCTTCCGACTCGCGACGAAATGGTTGGCAATGGTTGTTCCATACATGATTGGGACACAGACTTCAAAAGGTGAGATGGGATCGGCCAACTGATTCCAGCATATCCTGTCAAGATCACGTATCAAGATGTTCCCAGTGTCCATGTAGACTCCTCCATGAGAATACAAGCATGCCCCTCGCAAGAAGTCAGAGCTATGAGGCCCAGCATACGCCCCAGTCATGGTGCTAGTGACGAATGCTTGCGGAAGGAGATCAGCTGAAATGTATTTGAGGGCGTTATTGGGAGAGCCAGGTATGGAATCGAGGATCCGGACGGTCCACGAGGGCGAACAGATCCGAACCCAATCGACAACATTACGCTGGCACCATCCAGGCATCGCCCGAAGGCCCTTGTCCCAGAAGGCCCAGATATTCTTTTCAGACGTGACAGCCTTGTATTCCTCTAACGAAGCCAGGATTTCTTCGTCAGAGCGCTGATCAATATGGTCGACATAGCGCAGCTGGGCTTCAAATTCCGCATGGATCTTAAACTTCGTCGTAGAGGCCATCATCTGGGGATTGAAAGGTGAAATGGAGATTGACTTGAGCAAAAAAGATCACCTCACCTTCTGACGAGTCTGTCTCGTTCCATTTATACTGGCCTTGGGCTACCTCACAGTCCCAGGTCTGAGATTGATCCCCTCTATGCATAAGCTACTCGTTGGATACTACATGATCGAGTCGTGTAGCGCAGCAGCTTTGGGCCTGAATTGGAGGCCTGACGAACAATTTGGGGATTTATCGGTTGCTGGCACCCTTCGACGTCGTCGCGGGTGGATGCCCGAGTCCGAGCCAATCCGCCGGGTCAATGAGTCTCCGAGCTTTTTCGGTCTGAGTCACCAACAATCCTATCCAAGAATGGCGTCGGAGGTAACAATTCACTCAAGGTTAGCGTGAAGCGTCACAGATTGGGCGGAGCAGCTGTGTTGAGTGATGTGCTCCCTGTCGCACCGCATACGGTAGAAAACCCAAGGGGGGGGAAGTTGTTCTCCTACTTGTTTGGACGGCAGAACGTACAAGGGTACGAGGTGCACGGAGGAGAAATACGACCTGAACCAGGATATGGATGAGAGATCTCGTACAAAGTAGTGAGGCAGGTGAGCCGATCACGTGCTTGTGTAGTGCCAGTTTAACAGTCTGCGACAGACTAGCCTCTTTAGGATTAGCCCTACTACACCATTGAGGAGTTCGCGAAGCGCGTGCTTGTTCCACCTGGAGCCTCGCGTCGCTTTGATGATCCAACAATCCTTCACGACTCTCAGCTCCACGGCGCTGTTGTGCGCACGCCTCTAAAAAGACACCAACGCCTCCGAGAATCTCATCTGCGCATCATGCACATTAAGCAGATCACCATCCAAGGCTTCAAGAGGTAAAGACTAACCAGGTGTTGATGCAGAACCCGGTTCTAATCAATTCTTGCAGCTACAAGAACCAGACCGTTGTCAATCCCTTCTCCCCGAAACTCAACGTCGTTGTCGGTCGCAATGGCTCGGGCAAGAGCAACTTTTTCGCCGCGATTCGATTCGTTCTCAGTGATGCGTATTCACAGATGGGACGCGAAGAGCGACAGGCCCTCATTCACGAAGGGTCCGGCTCCGCTGTCATGTCCGCGTATGTGGAGATAGTGTTCGATAACACAGATGGGCGGTTCCCAACCGGAAACGATGAGCTCATACTGCGCCGTACGATCGGCCTCAAGAAAGATGAATACTCACTCGATCGCAAGAATGCGACAAAACAAGATGTCATGCAGCTCCTTGAAAACGCAGGATTCTCGCGCGCGAACCCATACTACATCGTTCCCCAAGGTCGCATCACCAGGTTGACCAATATGAAGGACTCCGAGCGACTGGACGTCCTGAAAAGCGTCGCAGGTACACAGCAGTTTGTCGCCAAGAAGGAGGAGTCGCAGAAGATCATGAGTGACACTAGCAATAAACTGGCCGCCATTGATCAGACGTTCGAGCAGATCGAAGACCGTCTCAAAGAACTCGAGGAGGAACAAGCAGAACTCCGAGATTTCCAGGAGAAGGACCGCGAAAAACGCGCACTTGAATACACCCTCTTCCATCGAGAGCAAGATGAAATCAACAGAGCTTTGGCAGAATTGGAAGATCGAAGGGCGGACGGGATTGACGGGGTCGACGGGGATCAGGAACGCTACGCACAAAACGAGGACGAACTAGCCCGGATCTCCCAACAAATTCAACAGCTCAACCATCAAATCCAGGCCGCGCGGCTTGAAAAAAGACAGTACGAAGAGGAAAAGCGAGAAAAAGCGAGGGCGCGAGCCCAAGTCGAGTTGGAAGAGAGGAATCTGGTCCACGGACAAGCGGCAGCTCAACGCACCAAGCAGGAGCGTGACAAAGAGCTGAAACAAGTTCGCGCGCAAATCCAGGAGATCGAACAAGAACTGAGCACCATTATCCCGCAATTCCAGGCGGAGAAGGCAAAGGAACAGGCCGTCAAAACTCGGTTAGAGGAAGCAACCGCCACGCAACAGCGGCTCTATGCGAAGCAAGGGAGAACTGCTCGATTCAAGTCAAAGGCAGATCGGGATAGCTGGCTACAAACACAGATTGACGAAACATTCCAGTCTCTCTCCCGCTTCAAAGCGACTCGCATGCAAACCGCCGAGGGCATCGCAGACGATGAAAAGCAAATTGCCAGTCTCGAGAAGGAGATCGAAAGCCTTCAGCAGCGACTGAGTGCACCGGACCATTCCATTGACCAAGACATTCAAGCGGCCAAAGAGAAGAAGGACGCGCTGATAGATGAGCGGAGAGCGTTGTGGCGCAAGGAGGCGCAGCTTGACTCGGAATACGCAGGGGCTTTGGATGACCTGAGAAAAGCTGAACGCAACCTGTCACACATGATGGATGGCAACACCAGCCGGGGTTTAGATGCTGTTAGGCGCATAAAGGAGCAGTACCGCCTGGAAGGTTGCTATGGTCCGCTTGCAGAGCTGATTGATGTCCCTCAACATCACACAGCCGTTGAAGTCACTGCAGGAGGTTCCCTATTCCACTATGTGGTGGACAACGACGACACAGCGAGCAAGGTCATGGAGATCCTGAGCAGGGAGCGCGCTGGGCGACTTACCTTCATGCCGTTGAACCGACTCAAGCCTAAAACAGCAAACTTCCCCAACGCGCAAGATGCGAGACCACTTATGTCACTCATCAATTACGACAAGAAGTTTGAGCAAGCTGTCCAACAGGTTTTTGGTAAAGCCATTATTGCACAGAATCTAAGCGTCGCAGCACAATATGCTAGAACTCACGGTGTGACCGCTGTAACCCCCGAGGGTGACCGGTCTGACAAGAAAGGCGCATTGACCGGTGGTTACCATGATACCCGCTCTTCGAGACTCAAAGCCACGAGGGCCGTGATGGCAGCTCGCGAGAGATTCGAGGCGGTCAAGGCCGAGGGCACCGATAACAAGAAGAAGATTGAAAAGATTGACCAGACCATCACAAAGGCCATGAGCGAGGTTCAAAAACTCGAGCAACAAAAGAACCAATCTCAAGGTAGCCAAATCTTACTCAGGCAAGAGATCAAAAGCAAGATGGACATGCTACAGCGCAAAAAAGAGGATCTCGAAGCAAAACAGAAGCAAGAGGCGTCGATAGCGGCAAACGTTAAGATCCTGACGGACCAACAGTCTGCCTACCAAGCTGAGTTAGGCTCAGACTTTAAGAAAGCACTGAGTGCAGCCGAAGAGAAGCAACTAGAGAGTCTTACAATCACTATACAAAAGTTGAGGCGCGAATACAACGATCTGTCTTCGTCTAGAGCAGAGATTGAAACCAGGAAGGCTGACTTGGAAGCCCGGTTGAACTCGAGCCTGAAACCTCAGCTCGAGGCGCTACAGACCGACGAAGTGGACGAAGAGGCCGGCAGCTCTTCCCAGATACGCGCCAAGAGGGCCGAG